AGACCCCCTTTTTAACCACACACAGCTGGAGAGGGAGAGGGAGAGAGAGAGAGGGAGGAGGGAGGAGTGACTAGAGGATGGACCTGCCTTTCATGCTAAACTTTAAATACCTCTGCACAGCACAGACCTAATAAAGTCAGAAGGCTTTCTCTATACTGCAGTTTGAGTATTGCTAGCTTTAAAGCCTGGACAGAAAGATTTGCAAAATGAATGGAGACCCTTTTCAGGTTAGTAGCAGGGCATGTGCCTGTGTATCTGGTATGGCAGGTGAAGTGACACATGCTCTTTGGGGAGTATGGATGGCTTTTGCTCCTCTGATCTTGTACGGTGTTTGTGAGACACAGCGTATTACTATTCACTTATGATGTGTGAAGAAGCAGGGCTACTGTACCAGCAGTTGTGGTGCTTAGACTGCTTCCTTTTTGGCAGTGAATGCACTTTTCTGCTGTTTTAAATTGTATTTATGTGTGTATAATAGTAACAAAAACTTATCAGCAAAACTGAGAGGAAGAGACGTTCTAGCAACCTCATAAGATAACTGCCAATGTATTTGTGTGTATACGGCACACAATCGAATAAGAAAATAGGTGACCAAAATCAAACTGGAGGTCTCAAAATCTGTGCTAGAAGAAGGCAGTGCCTATTGCGATAGCCAGATTATATTTATTGTTTTTGAGCGATTATGATGTTACATGTTGGGTTTTTAATTTTTTCATGTTACTGTACTTTAAAATAAATATTCTGATTGCTATAGCTGTTTTAAATCCATAGTCTCAGAGAGTAGATGACAGTCTGCCAAAGTGCATGCCATTACATTGTGGCTAGTATTTTTACTGTAGAAACAAGTGATAGACGCATTCCATGATCAGTGATGTAGGCAGTGCTTTTTTTTTTTTTGACGGTCCTGCTCGGTGCGCAGTACCCACACCTCCAGACACGGTACCAGCACCTTCAGTCTGAGCTCAACAACTTTTCCCCTGGAGTACCGGCACCTTATTTTTTAATTTTTTTTTTAAACAAAAAAAGGACTGAGTGTAGGTCAGTTATTTGGGCCAAACTTGGCACTCATTTGCACTTACGCAACTGTGTCAAGGCCAGAGTGGAGCTGTAAAGCAAATGAAAAAGTATGCCAATTTAGAAATGGAAATTCACAAGTCAAGGGTAAACTTTTCAATAGTACCAAGTGACTTAAAAGTCTACTCCCATTTCAAAGTGACTGAGGAGCCTAATTGTGGCCAGCCCATGTCAACTTCCTTGGGCTGCCAGGGCTGTAAAATTGCAATGTAGATGTTTGGGTTTGGGCTGGAACCTGGGTTCTGGGAACCTCCCCATTTGTGGGGTTCCAGAGCTCAGGGTCCAGGCTGAACTCAAATGTCTATACTGTGATTTTACAGCCCTGCAAACTCCAGTCAGAGTATGTCTACACTACTTCCAAAAAAACTTCAGTTACGTCCACGCTGCAATCACATTCTTCCAAAAGAAAATCAAAAGAACAGAAGGGTTTTTCCGACATTGGTAATTCTCATTCTACAAGGAAGAAGCCTTTTCCCAAAAGAGTTCTTTCGGAAAAAGGTGTGTGTGGACTGGAAAGAGGGAGTTTTTTTGAAAGAAGAAGAAAGAGGAAAAAGCACAGGTACCCTGGTGACCACTCGGTCCATAGTAATCACAGCTTACATGCGAGATAGTGTCCCTTCAGTGTGGACGCTATCGTTCGAAACAGCAGACCACTCTGGCTACGTCTACACTGGCATGATTTTCTGAAAGTGCTTTTGATGGAAAAGTTTTCCGTTAAAAGCATTTTAGGAAAAGCATGTCTAGATTGGCAGGATGCTTTTCCTCAAAAGCACTTTTTGCAGAAAAGCGTCCGTGGCCAATCTAGACGCAGTTTTCTGCAAAAAGGCCCCGATCGCCATTTTCGCAAAATGATTTGCACAAGAGGGCTTTTGCCCGAATTGGAGCAGCACAGTATTTCCGCAAGAACACTGACAATCTTACATGAGATCGTCAGTGTTCTTGTGGAAATTCAAACGGCCAGTGTAGACAGCTGGCAAGTTTTTCCGCAAAATCAGTCTAGACACAGCCTCTCTTTCAGAAGAAGTTTTTCGAGAAGATCTCTTCCCGAAAAGCTTCTTCCAAAAGAAGCCTGCAGTCTAGACATAGCCTCAGTTGACTCGTGACAGCTGCAGGTGTAGATACACCTTATGTCTAGTGTAGCCACACCTTATGACTTCCTGAAAGTCAATGGAATTTAGGTTCATAAGTGCCTGAGACACTTATGAAAATAGACACTTATGAAAGATTAGACTCTCAAATCACGTAGGTGCCTTTGAAAAACTTACTCTATTGTCATGTTTTGAAGTAGGAATATATTTTAAATATTCCAACTCTGGAGTTTAGCAACATTGGGTGAAATTCTGCTCCCTCCCCTCAAAAGTCAAAGGCAAAACTTCAGTTGTCTGTAATGGGGCTGGGATTTCTCACTCTGCATTCTTAATTTAACAAACTCCAAAGTGTATGCTAAAGATCCATGAAAGGCAGATTTCCAAATCAGATTCATATTTGTCTCTTAGATCTGCACTGTAGATCTCCAAGTTTTAGAACATATTGTGTGTCTGAAGGGCAAACAGCAGCTTCTATGCAAAACATTCACTATATTGGTATTACACTTTCTTGCAAAACATTTGGGTCCAAACAACCATATGCTGCCTGTATGTAGGGTGATAGTTTGGTCTAAAATGGCATTTAAGCCAACCATCTTGTTTTGATTTTACTATCTTAAAAGGACAGAATGGGAGCAAATTGCTGAGTTTAATGTATTCCAGAACTCTTTTGGATCTTCTATTGTGTCCGGAGATGCAAATTATTTAGGACTGATGCCGTGTGTGTGTGCACATGCATGTGTTTATGTGCTGTGTGTGTTACATAAGTAACAGTAGTTTAAAGCTCCAAATGCAAAATATTTTCCTCAGGACCATCCTGTGGATTTGTGGCACACTCTCAGGATTTCATCTTAGATGCCCATGAGACCTATATACAGTATAGTAATTTGTGACAGGTTTAATAGCACTCAACTATTATTGATGTTAACCAAAAGAATACAAAATTGCTGTGCCTAGCTATCTGAGAATTCAAAAGATAGAAAATATACTTTAGCGGGAATAAACTGTGCAAAGTATAAGGCCATAAAGTGCTCATACTTACATTAATTCACACATTTATATACCTTTAGGAATATCTTTCCTAATAGGACCCAGTGTTGAGAGAGCAATATGGAACATAACTCTTTTATACTTTCACTTATAATGAGGAATAAGATTTCTAGCTCCCAATCTTCCAGACACCTAAGAATGCCCTTAACTTTATGCATGTGAATAGTTCCATTGAGTTCAGTGAGTCTACTCATGTGCAGTGAATTAAGCATGTGCCAAAGAGGGCCACAAAATGGCAGATGAAAATCAGTGTTGATAAATGAAAAGCATAAAAACTGGAAACACAATTCTAGCCAAATGAAGTTTTCTAGTCCCTGGTCTCATTGGAGAGACTTTCCCTGCAAATCTTTTTCTGCTCTGGACTCTCAACTTATTCTTCTGCATTAAGTCCACAGGTCACCTTCCTAGGGCAGAGTTGGGATTCAAGGGCAGGCTTTTCCAATCCACCAGGATCCTGCATCAGGAAACAGCTACCATCTGAATGTGCCATCAGTAGCAGCTTCTAATGCTATATGTATCTGCTTCCTTATCAGAATTAGCAACTTCCAAGCTTTTTTCCTACAGGTACCTCCTTCTGAAAAAAGGATCCCCTTCTGTCAGATTTTGCTATTCTCCCTCCTCCCTATTTAATTTTAGCCACACTCTCTCACACACATTTTATCCCATGGGTAGCTCATCCTGGTGGAGGAGGTCTCTCTCTAATCTTGCAATATGGATACAGGCACACCTCAAGGTACAAATATCTGACTTATAATGGCCGCACATATAAACAAAAGCTCACCTGCGGCCTCAGAGGAGTAGTCAAGAGGCTCAGGCGGTGGCGAGTGGTGCAAGTGCTGGCCAGAGGACACTGGAGGAGCAGGAGGTTGTCATGCAGCCAGTGGCTGAAGAGAAGTGGCACTTGGAAGGGGAAACCGCTGCTTCCCTCCAGTTGCCAGCTGTATAATTGTTCTCTGCTCCTCTAGAGTCCTCTGGCCCGCGCTCACACCACTTGCCACCTCCTGGTGAGTCAGGGCTGGGTGCAGCTCACCGGGGAGGAGGGGAAGTGGCCAGGGGATGGAGCTGCCTCCAGGAGCCATAACAGAACCTGAATGGGGGAGGTGGTAGCACTGGCAGCCGGGGAATGCCAAGAAGTCCCTTTCAAAGTCTCCACCTGCCTCCTCATCCTCCTCTAATTAAACTTCAAGCACCAGCATTCAGAGTTAAATAAAATAAACTATTTCTGCTTTTTTCATCGCATATGCTGTATTTCAACTACATTATGGGTTAAATAGGCTTCTGTGGGCTAGCCTGGGAATCTAACTATCATTTATAGCATTGTTTCTATGGGTAAAGGCATTCCAAGTTCCAAACAACGGACTTACAAACGAACTTTTGGAACATCACCCATTGTTAAGTTGGAGACTTCCTGTATATGTAAAGGATTTTTTTAAAATACAAGATACAATATATGCACAAGCATATCACTTCTTATGTCAGCATTCATTTTAAACAAGCATGCTTTCTCTTTAAACAAGAGAACATAAGGTCATGGTTTGGGGCTAGCTGCACTTCTGACCCTTCCTCAGTAATCTCCTTAAAGGCACCCTTTTTGTTGTAGGCCTCTCTCTTTTACCCCTCGCTGGCTGGAGAGCTCTTCTTCACAGCTAGATGGGTAGGCTTGCAGACCCCTGCAGTTCATTGTGATTATCCCAGCAGGCCAGATCACAGTCCAACAGCTGCACTTTGCCCTGCTCTGCACCAGTTCCAGTCTCAATTCATTTCACTTGAACTTGGCTGACCAGAATGGTATATATAATATTCCAGATGAGATCTCCCCAGTGCCTTTGACAGCAGTGGTTTTTGAGAGTCTTCTCATGTGTGAACACTGAAATACAACTTCTAGTATTATCATTTGTATTTACTAGTTTATCATTTGTATTTTTAAGTGTGCAATTTCATCAAAAGTGAAATATTTACCTTCACAAAACCTGACTTCATTAGGAATGCCTAACAAAGGATTTACTGATTATTTCATTAAATTATTTGCTATTTCTCTTTACTTTGTTGGGGTGTTTCATTATAACCATCTTTCATATACATTTCTGCAAACTAATAATAGTTTCTAACTTACATTTATAATAATAATTTTACATAATTATGAACAGTCACATTTTTTGAATGAGTGGCCTACAGTTATGTGCACCCTGCTGCCTCTTCTGTGGAGCAACTTTGTTGTCCAGACTTCCAGTTTCTTTATAGAGAAAAGATCTGAGATTCCTAGCCCACGTTAAATATTAATTCAACTTCATATGCTGGTTTATTACTAAGGTGACTCACAAATATTTCAGGAGCCTTGTCCCATTTCTTAAATCGCTGGTTGTCAAAGCAATAACAAAATATTTAATTTTTAAAAAAATGTTATTGCTTTTGAATATTTATGAAGATCACCCTTGAAATATATTATGTGAGAACTTTCTTGTGCATGGTATTTTAAAATTCTTATTAACAAGTTATAACTGGTAAAAATCATAGCAGAAGTTTGGCTGTAGTGGGGATTTCATACAAGATAATGTCCTTATGAATATTTGGGAAGTAAATTCTGTGCACAAGGAATGAAAGTAAAAATCAGAAGCCAAACTAACAGCTGAGAAAATAATTTCTTATTGGAAGATTAAAGGAAACCGAAGAAAGAATGAATTTATCATATGGGGAAAAATTAAAACTTAAGGAATAAAAATGCTACAAAACTCAGTGAGATATGTTCATTTTGAGATGAGTCCAATTTAGGTAATTGGAACTAAGAGAAGCCAAATTAGGACATGATATAAAACTACACACAGACGTGTTGAACCTGTGAAAATTGACAAGGAATTCTTTGAAACCTGTATGAAAATTATGAATGTTTGTGGGATGAGAGGTGTAAGTAAACTGTTACCCTTAACCAAGTCTCCTAGACCAGTGTTTCTCAAAGTGGTCTACCAACCCACTTGGAGATCTGCTACCAGGCCACTCCGGTTTGTTTTCTTACCAGTTCCTCAGCCATGGAGTCTTGTGGTTCCCATTGTCTGTGGTTCTCCATTTACAACCAAGGGAAACTGTGGGAAACTGCTTCCTGTGGCTCCCCTTGGCTTCAAACGGTGAACCAAAGAGTAGGTCCTAAAGCACAGATTCTCAAGACGCTGAGGCTCTGGGCTTTATACTCCACTCTGCCTTTAATAGTACTTCCCACCTCCATGCTGGTGGTGACGTGGACCATTCAGAGAGGAACACAAGCCCCTCTGCTACCCATACCCTACTTTGGCAACCAGTGCAGATGGCTTACCCTATTTCCAGCATCTTTTAATCTTCCTGCCTCCGCTCCTCACTGTTCCAGAGTTTTCCCTTTCCTACCACAGTCTGGCAACACAACTTTTCCTTTCTTAAATCTTGGTTCATCCACCCTCTCCTGGGTGTTGCTTATCTGCTCCTCTCCCTCCATCCTCTTTACCCACCTCTGATAAAAGTTTGGCCACTGCACACATTCTGCCCAACCTTCCGCTCCTATTTGCCTCTGCCCTCCCCCTCCCCCCCAGCTGGGGTACTCTCATTTTCAACAAGTACCAGATTCCAAGAGCAATTAAAGGCAAAATGTTCACAAATGATTCAAAAGATGTCACGGGGGTGCTCAGACTGCTTGAGCAGTGACATGATCAGGAATAGCAAGGTGGCTAATTCTGCTGTGCTAGCCAATATAGCTAACTGTAATACAACTGCTCCTCTCTAATTCACCTGTACAGGCAGTATCCCCATCTCTCTTGAGAGTCACTTAACAGCTGGGTTTGATCATGAAGGTAGTTCCCTGATGACACCTTTTTTTGGCTAATCTGCTACTCCCTTGAGTACCTCAATCCTTAGAGGAGTCATGTCATAGACTCAGCTGGCTTGTGCAGTCTTCACTATCCTAAAAGGGCACAACCTGCCCTATTCACAGTGTATGCTTTCTACAAGCTCATATACCACCAATGGTATATACACCACAGTTTGCAAACCCTGGGTGTATTGCAACATGTTTGAGGTATAAAGAACTGCACAGTGCAAAACAATTTTACCAATTTTAAGAGTCAAAAAGCTTCTGTTATGTTTCATTTAAAACATGGCTTGATTCAACACATGAAAGTTAGAGGGCAAAGAGAATGTATTAGGGTTGAGTATGTGATTAAAATCACATAATCTAAAATCAGTTTGCTTATAGCTACTGTGCAGGTTTTGCACCTCCGATTATATACCCAGACAACTCACAGCTTCTTTCTTTGTCAGACACATTCATTTGAACCTATTATGAGGATCTGTAGAGGGCTCTGCATGTTATTTCCAAAACCAGGCAATAGTGCAATTAAAATGTTTTAGAACACACAGACTTTTACATTTAAATACCCTCTCTACTTGCCTGACATTTGTGTAATAGATTTGTTTTTCCCCAAGAAAACTTGACTTGATTCCAGAACAGCAAACTCATCTGGTGCTAATATTTTATAACTATGTTTCTCATTGGTTAAAATGTTTTCCTCCATTAAATCTTGAGACTATTGACTTTTTTCTTGCACAAGTGCTTTTTGCGTGAATGGCTTTCATTAGTCTGATGACATACTGTCTCCTATTGCTGTTCCCATCAGGTTTCACAAGCTAAGGAGAGTTGGAATGGATTGGCATTTGTGTAAGCAGCTCCAGAAAACAAACATGTTGCAGGAAGCATTGTTGATTCAATAGACGACAATCTTTCCACCTAGGGGTAAACCTACACTGTAGTCTTTTAGCCTGTGGATCTATACACGTTTTTGCCCAATCTGCCCCAAACCATCCATACCCAGGCCACTCAAGCATGGGCTTATTTGCACTTTGATCCCATGTTCATTTGCACAACTGGAGGGATGAGTTAAAGCTAGGGCTGTGATTTAGCTCTGTCTAGAACATGCCCACTTTGCAATGACGATGCAGGCAAGAGCACTCACATGCTGACAGTCCACCAATGGGTCATGTGAAGAAGTGGGCTGTTCCCACGAAAGCTCATGATACCATCTCCATGTTTTGTTAGTCTATAAAGTGCTACCAGACCATTTGTTGTTTTTTAAGTTCTTCTTACTCAGTTCACAGTTAATAGACTGGGAAAGAATCCTAGTGCATCTCAGCACAAAGAACCATGAACTATGCCCTCAGAATGATGCATCTTGGTCAGTGCAGAAACAGTGAGGACACAGTAATGTAGATAGGACTTGGCTATGGGGAGGTTTACTCAGATTTACTGTGCCATGTAGACAGTCTCTAAATCTGCAAAAAACCAATGCCCTGGCATAATGCGGGAAACTAAGGAGATGTAAAACACGTCCCGATCTCTTGTCTACATTACAGTTCGAATGACCTTTTCTGCAAGAGAAGGAGAGTTAATCCTTGTCCTGGCCAAACTTCCCTTTGCATAATTACTTTCAATTACGCCCCCACATGCCCTGCAGCTTGTGCTGGTGCTGGTATTTTTCACTTCCCATCCTAAACAGCGGCATGGTGCTGCTGTGCGCTATTAAAGAGCTGCTGTTTTACTCTCTATTGGGGTGGTGAAGTGACCTCTTTACATCCCTTACCTACCATGCTGTGACCTGTAGTTAGTTAATGATGGTAAGGTGTTTTGAAATCCTCAGTTGAAAGGTGGTGTATTGTTGTTTATATTACTATAGTCCATAGCCGCCCCAGTCATGGACTGGAACCCCACTGTGCTAGGCTCTATATAAACACAGAACATACAGACAGTCCCTGCTCCAAATAGCTTACAATCTGTACCACCTCTGTACCCTCTGGAGAATCCTCTAGAGTATCCTTGGAGAATCCTCTTTGGGCTACTTAAGCATCCCACAGGGAGCAGCACCAAGCAAAAAAATTTCCCTCAGCCTTTGGTGATCTATGATCACTATAGCACAACTACAACAGCTGGTCTGGAGAAGTAACAATTTATTTTAAATTAAGCATTTTTCTGTGCATCACTACACCAAGAAATATTGTCCCTCAATGAGTCCTTCCTTTTTTACTTCAGGGACAGTGTTGGCTACCCAATGAAAGACAGAATCTCTTGTTGCTATTAGTAAGTGCTGTATCTTACCTATTCTTTCCCCCCTGCATGAGCAATGAAGTCTGGAAATGTCTCTAAAAATACAGTTCTGAAGATTGTCTCAGAGGGCGTGTCTAGACTACTGACTTTTGTCGACAAAACTATACCAGCGTCTACACTACCGCTGAGTTCTGTCGACATAACGTCAACAGAACTCAGCAGTTTTGTCGACGCTGGTATACCTCATTTTACGAGGCATAACACCTTCTGTCGACAGAGTTCTGTCGACAGAAGGTGTTATTGCCTGTAGGGTTGCGTCCAGACTACGGGGTTCTGTCGACAAAGCAGTTTTGTCGACAGATACTGTCGACAAAACTTCCGTCGACAAAACGCGGTAGTCTAGATGTACCCAGAGAGAGAAATGGAATGGATGGTCCACTGAACTGGGTGCTAGTTTGAGACTCATGGGTTTAATTCCCTACTCTGTCACAGGTTTCCTGTGTGTCCTCTGCCACATCACTTTGGGTCAGATTTTTCAAAAGCACCTAATGATGGAGATAGGCACTTAGTGAAATTTTCAAAAGCTCCTAACCAAGTGAGATGCCTACTGATTTAAATGGAAGTTAGATCCCTAAATATAGTTGAGGATCTGGGCCTTTGTGCTTCAGTTTCAACTTTTTTTTTTTAAACAAAGATACTATTGCACTTGGGCAGGATTGGGGATCGGGGGCCCTCAACCCACAGAAAAATCAGTCAGGGGCTGCATAGAAGTGAAGCAAATAAAAAAAACACCCCTCATCACTGACATGGCCCTCAACTGAGAAGGAGAAAGACACTCCCCACATTCCCCTTTCACACCAGAGCCTAGGGGCGCCCATTCTAGTAGATTTTGTGTGCCCCAGCTCCGCGGTGGAGTGGTGGGGTGTGTGTGTGGGGGGGGGGATGGGGTTGGCGTGCCAGTGCAGGCTCCCCAATGTTGGGGGGCCCTGAGCCTTGGGGGCCAGATCCAGGCAAATGAGGGTTGCATCCAGCCCCCAGGCCTTAGGTTCCCCACCCCTGCTATTGGATTTTGTAAGGATAAATACAAGAGAGATTGTGAGGTGCTTAGATGCCATGGCAACGGGGGCCCAACATATCTTAGCCAGTTCCTGGCAACAATTGTGCTTCTTCATTTGAGGAAGACAACTTAATATGTTCTGAATGAATATAAATGAAAGCATATCTGACCATCCTTCCCTATTCATAAATCCTTGTGTTGACTCTTGCTGCACTCTGTCCTTAAGTTTGTGTCCTCCCCCCTCGCCCCTGAAAATCATCCCTGAAGTGCTATTTTGAGGGTGTAAGTGATGCCTAGTCCTAGTGATGGCTCTCTGCACTGTCGCTTCTTGAGATGTAGCTCTGCTGAATCCTAAGGGTAGGATTTAATGGAAGGAAAATTGAAAAAGAAAGTCTTTTCACAATGTATGTGATAAAAGAACGTTAAGGGCTCAAATGTGCGTGAGTGTTAAGTGTGCATGACGTGAGCTTGGTGTGTGTGAGTGGTGAAATGGGACATTGCTGTGGGCTTAATGATACCAATCTTCGGACTGCCTTGTGGGGAGGAGTGGCTCATCCCCAGCATATAGCACAGTAGTCATAATGCTGTTTTAATTTGCACTAGCAGAGCAGCTCCCAACAGGCCAGAGTACACTTTGGCTCTGCCTCGGCATACCCCCTATGCTGGGGCAATGCTCAGCTGTCTGTATGAAGCAGCGAGATGTCCCCTTTGAGTCACTGGAGGAGGATCAGGGGGGTCTTACTGCAGAGCAGAATGGGGCCCGGCCTGTATAGCTGAATTTAAAGGAGTCTGTTTTATCTTTCAGGAGACTATGTACATTGAAGAAAACACATATAAAAATGATATGATCTCTTTGATTTTCTCTCTGAAAGAAAAGGTTGGGGCATTGGCTAAAGTTCTGCGCATATTTGAGGTAAGTATTTTGCTTCTGTGTCTTTATAATGTCAGGACATTCAAACTACCCCCCTGTTTTCACATGATCCTGACTTAAGGGCAGTTGACTAGCCTGGGGAGTGTGTTGCCTGTGCACGTGTCTGTATATTTCATATGTATAAGGGTATTATTATAAAGATAATATAATTAAGGGCAGGAGTCGCTGTTGTTCCTCTAAGAACAGTTGCAGTTGCTGAAATTCAGCTACAATCTTCTGCCTCTTGGTTTATGCCTGCTTCTCTTCTGTGAAAATAGGGAAAGGGCTGGTCAGGGACATGGATGGAGCCCAGGGAGCCTTCGTGTAGAGCTTAGCATGTAGCAGGGAGAACGTCTCTGAAAACCCTCAGATTTCTGACATTTGCTTCTATCCTCTACCAGCTTCCCCTTCGACCTCTGTTATCTTGGAAGGGGATGTTTCCATGTCTGTCATGGGCAGCATGTTCTGTTATTCATGGGCTCTGTGAATTCAGACTCAGAGCAGCAGGAGGCAGGACTCAGCACCCCAGAGATACCAGGGAGAAAAAAGGGACCAAAAAATGTAACAAATGAAAAAGTGGCCAGACAGCACTCTGCAGACAGCACTTCACAGGGACATTCAGTTCCCTTGGTGAGGATTTCTGGGAAAGCTGAAAGGGCTGGACATTAACTCAGCCACTGAAATGAAAGCTTAGGGCCTATCTACACATGGATCTCACCAGCAATCCCTGACCATAGAGAAATTTCCAATCCCACCTTCACCAAGGCCACAAGGAAGTCTGCCTCCAAACAGACTGGGTGCATCAGCCTGGCAAGATTTTGCGCAAAACTTGCCGCCTGTCTACACTGGCCACAAGAATTTGTGCAAGAACACTGACTTTGTAATGTACAAAATCAGTGGTTCTTGCGCAAATATTTTGATGCTTCCATTCAGGCATAAGCCCTCTTGTGCAAGAATACTTGCACAAGAAGGCCAGTGTAGACTTAATTTTTTGTGCAAGAAAGCGCGATGGCTAAAATGGCCATCGGAGCTTTCTTGTGCAAAAGCGCGCCTAAACTGGGCACGGATGCTTTTGCGCAAAAGCACTTTTTGCGCAAAAGCATCCGTGCCAATCTAGACGCTCTTTTGCGGAAATACTTTTAATGGAAAGACTTTTCCGTTAAAAGTATTTCTGCAAAATCATGCCAGTCTAAATGCAGCCACTGTGTAAAATGCTATTGGATCAGAATGGCAGCATTTTACATCCACTTTGCACAGATGTAGAGAGCTACACAAGGTGGGAGGCAGTTGAGAATTAGGCTCAGGATATGTAATAGCACTTTGGGGTCCTATGGGATGAAAAGAGCTGCATTTGCTCTTAAGATGTTTTCCACGCACATGTGCACACACACATTTCCCCGAATGGATAATGGTTAAAAACATGGAGCCTTAGTTATAACCCACAGGGCTGTGTGCATAATCCCAAGCAAAACCATTCTGTTTTATTAGGTTTTTAGAACTCTAAACAGTTGTTTCTGGGAGGAATAGTTTAGGCAAATTACGGTAATGAACTTCAGAGTACATATTTTCTATGTAGTGGCATAGTACAAATGAAAAAAAAATGTCCTCGGACATTTTCAATTCATTACATAAAAAGGGAGTAAATTACATAATAACTATTAGAGCTACAGAGTGAGCGTCAGTCTGAACTGCAGCATGCCCGTCAACAATGTTTCCACTTAGCAGTGTGCCTGTCTGAGCCATTGTTTACACATTCAGTTGTTTCTTATTAACTCCATGTGTGGACATTTGCACAGAGACTCTGCATTGCTTTGAGGGGCCCATATCAGCACATTTGCCAGGCTCCTGCGGATCTCTTCCATGCCCCTGTCTTGTGACAAGAAAGGGAACAAGAGACTGATCAGCTTTAATTTATATGAGGAAAGACTTGTGAGTCTGGAAGGGGATGATGCTGTATTCAGCATTCTCCCTGAGATCTCAGCCCTCCACCCCCAGCACTAACCATGGAACACCAGAGAGACAAAGTGGACTGAGCAGATTTGACAGTGTCAGAGTTGGGGGACACAAGCCATTTACACTTAGCCCCCCAGTCCCCACTTTCAATAGGCTTTAGTCAAGCAGCTTTTCCTTTCTTTTTCCCCTTTCCACTGCATAAGCAGTACATCTCCCCTGCATGGAGTCAGGACCAAATAAACCTAGCCCATTGCTGACAAGGGTTTTGTCTAAACTGTTCTTAACCTCCAATGAGAGGGATTGCACACCCTCCAGTTGTAACCTGATCCAGCACTTATCTAACCTTTTATCGTTTTTACTAATAGCTAACCTAAGTTTTCCTGGTGGTATTTTAAGCTAATTACTCGCTTGCTTTCACTGGACAGGGAGAACAACAGAGCATCATCTTCTTTATAAACCTTTCCTCATAGGTCAGGCTTAAACCTTTTATCATTTTTGTTGCTTTCCTTCGGATTTTCTCCAATTTATCCACAACTTGCGTAAGCGGTGGTGCCCAGAACTAGACAGAGTCATCCAGCAGAGGCCTCTCCTGTGCTGTGTAGCACAGACCACCTACTTCCTGTGTCTTACACATGGTACACCTGTTCATATACACCAGCATATTGGCCTATTTTATTATTGCTTCACATTGTTGGCTCATGTTCAGTGTATGATCTGTTATAACCCCCAGGTCCTTATCTGCAGAACAACTGGATAGGTAGTTATTTCCCACTTTGTAGTATGTGCATTTGATTTTTTTTCTTCCTAAGTCAGTAATTTATACTTTTTTTAGTTAATTTAATTTTGTTGATTTCAGGCCAGTTCTTCAGTTTAGCCAGGATACTTTGGATTCTAATTCTGTCCTCTGAAGTGCTTGCAACTCCTCCTAGTTGATGTCATCTACAAATTGTATGCATAGACTCTCCCCTTATCCATGTCATTAATGAAAATATAGTTTGCATTGGACTCAGAAGAGATTCCTTCAGGATCCAAATAGATGTCTTCTCAGTTTGAGAGCAAATGTCTGCTTTTTTATTATGGGTTTTCAATCACTTGGGCACCCATTGCACCATAATTTTATCCAAACCACAGGGCTCAGGGTTAGGCAAGAAGCTTGTCTCCAGGGAGAGAGAGAGCATTGAGCAGATACCATTTGGGGAAAGGTTGCAGGCTACATAATGTGATGAGAGAAGACATTGTCCTCCAGAATGAGAACCTAGGGGATACGGCTAGACTGGCATGATTTTCCACAAATGCTTTTAATGGAAAAGTTTTCCATTAAAAGCATTTGCGGAAAAGAGTGTCTAGATGGGCATGGATGCTTTTCCACAAAAGCACTTTTTGTGGAAAAGCGTCTGTGCCAATCTTGATGCGCTTTTGCGCGAAAAAACCCCGATCGCCATTTTCACAATCAGGGCTTTTTTGCGGAAAACAGTACTGTGCTGTCTACACTGGCCCTTTTGCACAAAAGCTTTTGCGCAAAAGGACTTTTGCCCGAAGGGGAGCAGCATAGTATTTCTGCAAAAAGCACTGATTTCTTACATGAGATTGTCAGTGTTCTTGTGGAAATTCAAGCGGCCAGTGGAGATAGCTGGTAAGTTTTTCCGCAAAAGCAATTGCTTTTGCAGAAAAACTGGCCGGTCTAGACACAGCCAGGGAGAGATGACATGAACACAGAGGTGGTGGGGAAAATGGTATTTTTAAACAATGAGCAGTATTACTAAAAATGCTTCAAGGAAGAAGAGCCCAAGAATGGGTGAATTAGGGTTTAGAATGAAGTAAATCTTTCTGTTTGGGGAGCTTGATGAGGTGATATGTATTAAGAAATAAGGCTCAGTTGGGCACAAAGACAGGTAAGCCTGTTGTAATTGTTATATAGAATCTGTAGTGCTGTGGCCACTATGTTCCTTTACTTCCCCTTCATCGTAGCTTTTAAGAGTCACAAAGTTGCCAGCCACCTGCACAGCATCAAATTATTTAATTCACTCTCCACTAAGCTGGCAACAAAGCTTGTCAAACACAGAACTCAAAGTCCCAAAACAGCCATTCACTCCACAGACAGACAATTGCTTCTCCCGGGCTTCAAGTGTCTACTGGCAGGCCTCCTACCTCTGGCAGCCTCAACTACTTCTCTCAACCATGATCTTCCCTTGCAGCTTCCCACTGCCTTTAACATGTAAATAATCTTCATCTCTCAGGTGGGGCTCATCTTTTAATCAGGACTGCCTTGGGCCCAGGCTTTCCAGTCCACAGGACAAGCATTCTGTTACAGAGGCCTTAATGGGAGGCAGGTAGAGGGAGAAGGGGAAGGACACTGTATAATCACCCCCCATTCTCAGAAGGATGCTCTACTGAGCAGTCATGCCCTGCTATAGTCTATCAAAAGATCTTCAGCACGTTTAAAAAGGAACACTTCTCAAAGGGGGGGAAAAGTAATTTTGGGAGAACCAGACTGCAACACAGGCACCTGCTGGAGCAAGGGTGGGCAAATTCTGGCCCGTGGGCCAGAGCCAGTCCACAGGATTAATCCCTGGTGGGCCCCCACCGTTATATTTACCTGCACCTCCGCAGGTTCACAATTTTGTTGGCTGCAAACAACGATCTGCAGCCAACAAGAGCTGCAGTTGTCTGATACCTGCAGAGGTGCAGGTAAACATAGTGGCAGTGGCCCACCAAGGACTAGCCCTGGAAGGCTGCCATTCTTTTATTGCCCACCCATGTATTAATAGAAACTGGTGTTTATCTGCTAGAATGTTACCACCAAATTTGAATCTTTTCTATGTACCTTGGCTTCTATGCTTCTAACTATTGTAAGGGTAGATCTGTTTTTGTCTTCTGTTTATTCCTGATTCATGCTCTTTCCATCAGTTTTCAGAGACAGGGCCCTGGCTCAATACACAAAATATGAGAGGTGCAATCAGCCAAGGTGGATAACCATTCTAGCCCCCAACAAAGGATGGGATGCATGTGTAGGGTGACCAGTTATCCCTTTACATTGGGAATCTCTTGGT